CCCCCCCCCCTCCCCCAAGCTCCTGCTACAATAATACTATTTCTACGCATAACGTCTGAACTGATTTCTCGACCCCTTTCATTACTCCGTGACATCCCCAAATTACTCGAAAAATGGGTAATTTCCCCCTCCTCTCCTATGAGCATCCCTGTCTTAGAGCTTAAGTGTTGGGAGAGTGTGAAGTTGAATAGAATGGTGGTCAATCAAGATTCTTAAAATTGTCAATGTATTCAAGGAATGCTCACCACTGGGAATGCGTGGTGCGTTCAGCTTTTTGGGTGAAATCGGTTACGGTTTCATGTGTGTTCTCGGTTTGGTGTTGGGAATGCGATCGGTATTGGGCCATTCACTACCTCTACTTCTTGGCGTTTCAATCATCCCACAAGTTTTCTTCGTCATTTTCCTTCTCTTCATTCCGGAAACACCAAAATTCCTAATGATCACTCGGTTAGCACTATTTGAATTACTGTAATTCATTGCATCAATCTACAAACAACCATCAACACCAAGTTTTTGCATTCCAGTGCAGGGAAAATGATCAGACAAAAGTCTGTTGTCAACCTCAAATCTAAGTCCCAATCAAATTCGCCCAAAGACTCATGTCTTTGTTGAATCTCATAATCGGATCCATCACAGGCATCGTACTCAAAGTACTAGGTCTCGAATGCGCCCTAGAAATTTAGCAAAATGTCAGCAATTCAGTGAAATGCTACAGATTATAAACATGAAGAGTTTCGGCTCTCATCAGAAACTTTAAAAGCCTTCTGACTGTACTCAATTGCCCAAAAATGAGAAATTTTGTCAAAATAGAGTTTAGTTGCCTTGTGGAAAGTCTGCATTCGCATTCGAATACTCTAAAAACTTTTGAAGCAGCATAAATTCACGCAGAGATAGTGTTACACTGCAAACTACACTTGTTACAACCTCGTANACTTTTGAAGCAGCATAAATTCACGCAGAGATAGTGTTACACTGCAAACTACACTTGTTACAACCTCGTAATTTGCTGGTGTCAGATAGAGTGGCATAATTCCCAATTACATCTGAAGAGAACCGGTCTTTTGAGAGCAGTACTCATTGGCATGTGAACTTCATGCTGATCACAGGGAAGTAAGTGCTCTCAAGACTAGAACGAAATTTTTTTCCTCAAGAAGGCACATAAATCAAACACGGCACATAAATAAAACGATTTTGGTTCACATTGTGTTTCGCTAGAATCACTGAAAATGTGTTGTGTTTCGAAAGGGAATGGTGACCTTTGGAAAATGGAACCATTGTCCCTGTGACCTACAGTTGGGTAGATTATCATTGAAATTCGAAGACCACCAATCGGGGAGTGTTCGTTTGGTGGACATCGGACGGAATTTCATTTTTAGATTCTCAGCCCTTCTGTGAACATATCCTATATGCCAAACTCGTTGAAAATAACTCTTTCACATGCTCAAATCATTTTGTTGCTTGCTTATCCCTGCATAGAAGAGTTTTGGGTAGTAACTGATGATGCAAATCAGTCAGACTTAGGGTGAAAAAGCTTCCATTCAAGCTTCGCGTAATTGCAATTTTGGTTCATAGAGTTTTCGATGAGGCGGCTCATATTAGTTCCACTTGAACTCGACACTTCTGGAAGAATGAAATATGCAGTTTGAAGATTGTTGAGTGGATCTCGTGAAAATTTTGCATCCGGTCTCATTGAGACGTTTGCTTGCATTCGTTGCATGCATGCTACGTGCATCGTCCACTCGTGCTCGCGCAAAATCAGTCGTCACTTGAAACGAAACGACGATAATTAATTACGCTCAAAATCTATTACATCGGTTTCACTTGATCGACTGAATTTGCAAAGTCGTCATTCTGTCCAGAAATTTTCACAAATCATATCAGCAGAAATTTTGTTTCTGCACACACCAAGGCAGCCGTATTTTGCGTTTATCTGTTCACCGCACACCCAAACTAGTGTAATCAAGTCGAATATCATTCTCAAAACATAAAACATAAATCCAAAGAATTTAAGATATAACCCAAACAGAACACTTAAGTATATTTTATGTTTTGAGAATGATATTCGACTTGGTTACACTAGTTTGGGTGTGCACTTGAACAGTGACTGATTAATTGCTTTCTCAAGAACACCTGCGCGTTCATTCGTTTGCTCTCAGTAATTGATAAAGATTGATGAGCAATTATCCGAAGCAAAATGAAATGAAAAAATTTCCATCAAGAATGGAATGAACCATTGAGCTTTTGAGGCCATCTGAAATTTGAAAAAAAAGCCAAACCTTCATACGTTCATATTCCAGCACAATATTCACAATATGTCTCGTTTTCTGTGAAAAGTTGAGGGGTAAATGGGGGAGGGGGGGGGACTGGTGAAAAATGTTAGTTGATGTCGACGAGATAAAATTCTTCCATTCAAATAATATGATTTAAAAAATGATAAGATGCTCCTGGAAACCGGTTGTAATTTTTACATGTTTTCTATCAACGCATGATCGAGAACATTTTTTCGCCATATTCTTTTCGTCGAATTTCGGTTCGAATCGAGATTTCGCAACTGGAATCGGAACGGGAGAAAACAATGAAAAACTTCTACGAACATCGCCAAACTGTCTTGACACTATCAGATTGAGATGAGAACAAATTGGCTGTTGTTTCAATCAGCCGTCAAGTGAAACGACATCGCTAAATTTTTTTCAGCACAGCATATTCGCTGAAAACGTAGTTTATTGTTAGGGCTCATCGCATCAGAGTTATGAAAAGAGAAACTTTGAAATAGGGATATACGCTGAGAACTGACGAAATAGCACCAGATAAATAGCCATATATCCTCGGTGAGGCGGAATTTTCAGTAAGTTTTTCATTCTTAGAAAGCAGAGATTCTGTTCAATCGAATGATGCACAAAGATCAATATGTTTACGGGCAAACTTGAGATGACGGTAGGCTTGAATGTATCAAACCCATACTTCCATAGTAATGCAACGGAAACTGGCTAGTGGTTCTGGATATAGCTGAATCAAAGAATGCCCAAAGTGATATGTATTGCAATGAATGTGGCGACTAACGCGAAAAGCCGGAGCATACAAAGAAGATAGTACTTAAATCACTTAGAAATGCTTGAGAAATGGGCCGATAGTGAAGTGGTTTAACGATGCTGGGCTTTGAGGATTCGACGATCTGTTCAGAAGGCATGAGTTCGATTCAGCGTCGGTCCAAAATCCTTGACAAAGTTTAAGTCTCATTCAAGAGATAATCAAGAGGGCTTAGTTTCAACTCAGGCCCATCAAAACTTTGCTCTTTTGAGATAGCTAAGAATTTGACGGCAAAGTGGTCATATAACTGATTAACATTCATCAGCATGACTCTAATTGACTAGTGCGTGAGTTTTCCGGATAGAGGAGTCAACC